TTTTAGAATTAAGCATATTTTTATGATTATAAACTTTTTTTCTCTACTCACTTATACTTATCAGCCTAAAGATGAGAAAAGATTAACCATGTCTATATTGAAAAGTGTCAGAAAGATCTTATTGGTCATACCTTTCTAACATGATCTTCAAATGTTTCTTTGTTTTTTATTCGTTTTTGTGTATTTGATTTGTTTCTTCAACAAACTCAGTTTTTTGTTAATTTTGATAACAAATTTGTTGAATTAAGCATACTATAATAATTATAAATTTGTCCATTTTCTATTGTTAAATCAAGTGTAAATGAATTTGAACAATCATTAAATTACATATTCTATGATGTAATTTATGCACTAGTTAATCAAATAATAGTACATATCCAAGTGGTCGGGTACCTCCAAGACAATAAGCAAACATGTAAATTATATGCAATTTCATAATATTGTATTTTTTACTGGATTAAAATGAACAGTTACTTATTTCACTTGATTTAGATCCTTGATTGCTCATATAAGGTTGTAATAAAATAAAATTCTGATAAATTTAAAAAATTGTTCAGCAAAACCTTAAAATTTTGAAATTTGTTAGAAATTTGGTTATATGCCAAGTTAGGCTTCTTTTTGTGTTGTCATGTTTGTTGATTTGGCTATGTGTGGTTCCTTTGAAGTTCCATTTCTATACAAGAATGTTAATGTTTACATCCAAGTGGAAACACTCACAACTGGTAAGCCTTTTAAAAGATTTTTTCACTTACATTAATCAAAACTATTATTTTAAGTGGTTCGTTCTCATGGATGCCACATCGGTTGTCACTATATAGACCTTCTACCAGTCTAATGAAGAATCCTAACAACTTTATGAAGAATTTTACTGCATTTTCAATGAAGTATCACTCTGTCAACATTCTTCTCTATAGTTCTTTCTCTTATTTTCGATATAGATGCGTGTCACAACAATAAGACAGAATGAGGTGTTAGTGACCATTAAAGATGAAAAGGTAATATATTATTTAAGAATAATATATAAAGTGTAAATTTTAGATTTATGATATTTATTTCAATGAAAAATATTTTGTTTGATTGTTAGGTTACATATCTGTTTATTTATATAATATTATTTTGACAAGTTTGATCTAAATTTGATAACTGAAGAAGGTAGGAAAGATATGTGCTAACGATTTGAATTTGTATTGCCTTATAAAAACCAATTGTAGCCTCACAGACCATTCCCTCATATCTCAGTAGGTCTTAAAATTTCCTAAAATTCAGCTTCAAGAAGTCATGGATGCACTTCTTGAATCAATCTTCTAAACCGAATTTCATTTTTTAGCTGGATGTAGTGATCAAAATGCAAGATTTGTGAAAGTTCATTATTTTTTTATTATTGTTAACCTTTAGCAAATTATGAAAGTAATATTATATTTTTGTTCATAACATGTTGTTTTGTAATAATTTATATGATCGGAAGGTGTGTATATGTGATTGGGTGCAGCCTGAAAAATCATATTTTAATATTTATAAGGAAAAAATACTTTGAAATCGACCAAATTACAATGTCTGAATTTCATGTTTATGGTTATGACAATTCACTTTATTTGTAATGTTTATCGAATTTCTTTGCAGAATTTAATGTTATCGGTATATGTAACAAGTTATTGTTGTTTTTGGTTTTACACGACCAATATGAAAAGAGTCATATTAGCCTCCATGGGAGTTGGTACACCAAACAAAGTCAATTCATAAAGCTACTACACAATATGTTTTAATCAAGAAGTCGTATTAGGTTGTGATAAAACAAAGATCACATAGATCATTTATGTTAAAAATTATTATATTAAAAAACCAAGTTGCTCTAATATAAATATTAAATATTTTTATCTAATAATTTTGGTTCAAAAACTCAAAAAATGAATCTAACTAACATTTTTTTTATTAAAACTCAACCTAAGACAACACCACCTATTAATGTGATATGTATTTAATTTATGTTCTTGCATTAAACGCGGGTCATTATCTAGTATCATACTATATACTAAATTAAAATCATCCATTTGATTCAAAACTCCTGAGTGAAGTTCAAAACCTAATAAATTAGATCTCATACGCTCAACTATGGGTTGAAAACCCTAAAAATCTCGGTTCAAGTTTATTACGGACTAGGATCCTCATATTGGTCCTGATGTGCCAATAAACTTTCAAGTTGGGTATGTTGGGTGAAGGAACCCTATTTGGGCTCTAATTAGACCCACATTCATGAAACCCTAAAGTATTTTGGGTCAGGTGGGCCTAGAAAACCCATCTTACCTCTCATGGGCCATGATGGGTCCTAAATGGCTTAATAAGCCCTAATGGGCTGTAAACTATATTCTTGGGCTTCATTGGGCCATAAACCCTTTTCCTTATCACTATTGCGCCATGAACCCTCATAAGGGCCCAATGGGCTGAAAACCTTCATCTTGGGCCTCATAACTTCGAACTAAACCAAGAAAAGGCCCAAAATCCTTCGTTCTCTTTTCCTTTCCCTCATTCTCGGCCCAACAACAAAAAAATGAATGGGAGGGAAGTGGAGTTTGACACCTCAACATTACATAGTGGATATCCATGCAAGATTTGATGTATCCATGCAAACCTCTAATCACCCTCTTCATAAGTCAACACTCCCCTATCTCTTATCTCTTCTCACTCTCGGCCATAAGAGCCTCCATCACCACCATCACTCTTCATTTTCAAAGTTAATATTTTCTCATCCTTTTTCCTCTCTAGCACAAAGAACTTTCCCCCCACATCCTCCTAGATTTCGAGAGTTTTAAGGGCACATCAAGAACTCTTCATCAAATCTTATCATTCTTGGTAAGTTTTTCTTTGACTTTATGGTTTAACTTTAAGATTTCACCAAAAATCTCTTCTTAACCCACACCATTTCATGATCTATGCTCTTAAAACTTCATAAATCTCGAAAACCTTCTCAACAAGCTTACTAGGGCCAAGATCTTCTTATTTCCTCACCAAAAACTAAAAACTTCAAAGCAATGTGAGTTCATACCCCCTATGTTCGATTTTTTACCTTGTTTTGGGGGAGAGTACAAGTTGTATTGTGTAGATCTATGTGTGTATGCATGATTTTGTGTGTTTTCCTAGTCATATATGTGTTTATGTGTTGTAAACTTCATGAACTTAAAGATCTACTAAACGATGATGATATCGTTACAACATAACACTCATTTCAACTCATCTTACAAGAAAAAGGTTTAAAATACATATTAGTTACTTAAAACCAAGAAAAACTTCATAAAAGGGGCTAAAGGTGACAAATTGACAAAGGAATGGGCTATTTATGTAACTCACGACTAGAAAGTGGTTCAAAAGGATTTTTTTTTTGCTAAACATGGCTAATCTCGACATTTGAGACCTTACAAGGACTAAAAATGTTAATATTTTCATAAATGGGCCTTATTTGGGCTTCTTAAGGTTTTGGGCCAAAAAATTGTAATCTTTGATCTTTTGTGGGCGTAAATGTCACTTTCAAGAAAGTTGTGCCAAAAATGCAATTTTTTGATAAGACGGGTTTAAGATATGAAATTATAAAAATTTGGGCCAAAAAGATGAAATTACCTATAACGCGCCGAAAATATATACTTTTTATAAAAATCAAGCCAATAATGATATTTTTGACAAAAATAAGTTAAAAATGTTCTTTTTACAAAAACTAGCCTTAAATGTAAGTTTTGTTTTAAAAAGGGGCCTAAAATGTTATTTTTCTAAAATTGAGCCTTAATTGTAAATATTTGGCTTAATGGGCTAATAATGTCATTTTTACAAAAAGTGGGCCTTTTATGCCATTTTGGTAAATAATTGAATTAAAACAGACAATAATGTAACAAATGGGAAAACTTTTGCCTCTCTCATGTTATTGGACCTTATTGGCCCATTTATATGCTTGATAGGTCCTAAATACTCTTTATATGTTTATTGAGCATCATAGACCCATTAACATGCTCGACGGACATTGGATACTCTTTGCGTGCTATTTCAGCATGTAAATACCTTACATGTGAAATGGGTCTTGTTTGTCCTTTTACATATATTTTGGGCCCATGTTATATAATTTCATTCCTTTCGGGCATGGAAATGACTTACATATTAAGTGAGCCTTAGTTGTTCACTTACATGGTTCATTGGGCCTAGAACATGTTATATGTTTCTATTCGCGTAAATTTGATTAAGGATCTAGTGAGACATGTGGTTAACACCTATTGAGTGTAAAATTGTGACATCCCCTAATTTCTCGGCCAGAAAAGACCGATTTAATTTAGGATTTTTTTAATAAAATCAAAGAAATGTTTTTAAAAGATGTTGCGGAATTGGTCCCCAAAACAAAACATGATAAAAGTTTATCAAAATCTTTCCTTAAGAAATGTATAGTTTCATTTCATATCAAAACATCGGGATGTCATGTTCCGATACAAATCAAAAGCATAAACAAGACATTATAAGCCTTTTAACAGTTATTTACAACTACTGGCCTATAATCAAAATCTCTCCTTGTCCTCCGACTATGATCGGGGTCCACTACCTGAAATCATAAAAACTGAGTGGGTCAGGCATGGGAGCCTAGTGAGCATATAGGGTTTTCAACCCACATTAATAATAGACAAAATTGCAAATTTGGTCCCTGTGGTATGCCCAAACTAGCATGTTTGGTCCAAAATGGGTTTGGCTTGCAAAGATGGTCCAATAGTTTCTATTTGTTGCGAGTTTAGTCCAATGGCTTAACAGCCGTTACCAAGCTCCCGTTAATTTACCCATGCCCCTCTCACTTAAGGGTATTTTAGTCCATTAATCCATGCAACCGTTCCCGCTAAAGCTCAATAAAAGCAGTTCGTCTCCTCCTCAATAAAGTAGACCGTCGTTTCTTTACCAAGATCAATAAAAGCCCTAGACACAAAATCAGTTCTGTTAGTTAAGCTGCGATTTGTAGAGATTATCGGTGGATGAACATAACAATGTGGAATGTAAGGTTGTTAAACACACCCTTCAACCCCAAGGTTGTTTATGGTACGTAATTTGGCCTTTTTCATCTTTTGATTTCTTGATTTTTTTTAAGTAAGTCCAACTGAGGTGTTTTTTTTTCTTGTTTTGAAGATGGACACCCAACATTGTTTACCATTAAGTTGTACCATGGAGGTGAGTTCACCAAGTACCCTGATGTTCGTTACATTGATGGAACTGTAAACTATGTTGACATGGTAGACATAGATGAGTTTTCAGTTCATGAGCTCGATGCAATCATGAAGGGTTTTAGATATGGGGTTCCTCCTGTTATATACTACCATTTTCTTGTGCCTGGTGGAGACTTCCACTTTGGTCTTCGCCCTTTAGGAAATGATCAAGATGTTGCAAACTTTTCTCAATATGTCAGTGAGCACAAAGTGATGAAGGTATACACAGAGCATGGTGAAACAAGACTACTCACCTATTTCTTGAATCCTAAGCCTGTTACCAAGGTTACCCTTGTACAGTTAGATGAACCACATGAGGATGTGCAACACATTGATGAAGCTCCTGATGACCAATCAAAGGAAACACCTGTGATGACTACACCTACTGATAATTTAGTTGATGTGGTGCCCACTCAAGCAAACCAACCTGAAATCCAAGTTAATGAAATCGTTCAAGTCGTATCCTTATCACCTGGATATAATAGGAGAAGGGGTATGAGCAAGGATGGAGTGATGGCATCTTGCAGTAAGAAAATTTACTTTGATGATATTGGTGAGACTGAACAGATAGCCAAAGACTTTGTTGAGGCAGCTACTGATTTTGATATTGGACTCTACCAAAAAATACTACAAAGCAATGTTGATGGAGTCAATGGCACTGACATGCATGATGTCAATGAACCTCAGATGGATGAAGAAATCCAACCTCAAATGGATGAAGAAAACCAAGCTCAGATGGATGAAAACCAACCTCAGTCTAACATGGATAGTAGTGGAAAAGAAAATGTAAGTGAAACAGAGCAGGAAGATGATAGTGATGATAGTGATTATTGGGTGGATGAAGATAATGTAATTGAAGATATTGAAGTTGACATGAGGGATTTTAACATGAGCATTGATACAGAAGTAGAGTTCTTAGATAAAAGGGCTAGGAATCCTAGACAACATGAGAGTGATGAAGAAGCAGATGAGTTAGATGTCATTAACAATGATGCTTTTGATTCCATGGATGAGGATTCTGACCAGGACAGGAAGAGAAGAGCAGTTTTGAAACAACTAAGTAAGGAAAAAAGTTGTTCTTTAGGTGAGGTTCATAAGTGTAATTTTAAAATAGGTCAAAAGTATAACAGTAAGCAGGAGTTGAAAGAGAAAATCAAAATGCATGCATTGGAAACAAAAAAGAATATTGCATTTAAAAAAAATGACAAATCCAGATTGAGGGCCATATGTAATGGAGTTGTGGCATTTACTAATGACGGAGTTGGTGGACCTACCCAAGCTGAAAAAAGTAAAGGGAAAATTAAAGGGAAAAGTAAAGGGAAAAGTAAAGAAAAGGACAAACAAGGTGGTACAAGTCAGGAAAAAGCAGATTCTTCTTGTCCTTGGATGTTACATGCCTCGAGGTCTACAGATGCAAGCAGCTGGTACATTAAAACATATGAAGACAAACACACTTGTATGAATACAAGGAAGGTGAGAGCTGCAACAGCGAAGTTTATGTCCAAACAAATCATGGATCAAGTAGAATCCAACCCTACTATCCCAGTTAAAGCTCTCCAAGAACAATTACAGAAGAAGTATGGAGTGGGCTTCTCAATCCATAAAGTTTTTAGAGCTAAAGCAGATGCAAAAAAGATTGTAGTGGGGGATTACAAAAAACAGTATGAAGTTCTGAGAGACTATATCCTTGAGTTGCAGTCAACCAATCCTGATACCACAGTCAAATTAGAACTTGGAGATGTTTTAGAATCTAATTTGGTGAATTGCACTTCAAGATGTTTCAAAAGAATTTATGTTTGTCTAGGGGGGATGAAGAAGGGATTCAAAGCTTGTTTAAGAGATTTCTTGGGGCTAGATGGGGCTCATATGAAAGGCCCTTATCCAGGCCAGATCTTAACTGCAGTTGGATTAGATTCCAACAATGGCATATACCCACTTGCATATGCCATTGTAGAGATTGAAAACTGCGAATCTTGGAAGTGGTTCCTTGAATGTCTTGGTGATGACTTGGATCTACATGCTATGTTTAATTTCACTTTTGTTAGTGACAGACAAAAGGTAATGGTTGTTTATTTATTTATTTTAATGTTTATTTTGTTAATCATGTGTAATTTGTTGCCAGGGTTTGCTACAAGCAGTTAGTCAATTGTTCCCATGTGCTGTGTAACAACGCAAATTTTCAAATAAAATTTTCATTTAAAATAAAGTAATTTCATTCAACCAATAGTATTTATTTCATGTTTCATATCAAATAAATATATAACATTCCCAAGATCTCAAAATGCAGCAGTGTGTATGCATCATGCCGGCGCCTTCCCACGGTCCTCGCTAGTACCTGAAACACATACATAACAACTTGTAAGCATAAATGCTTAGTGAGTTCCCCAGTATACGACTTACACATATACGCCTTTCCAGGCCCTGACCTTCCGGTCCACAACACATTGCCTTCCGGCCCGTAAACATAATCGCCTTCCGGCCCATAACATATTGCCTTCCGGCCCGTATTATATTGCCTTCCGGCCCATAGTATATTGCCTTCCGACCCATAACATTTACAACATATAATACATTTAATATAACACACATAGCACATATATCATACATCATACCTGACCTTTCCTCCACATAACATATCGCCTTCCGGCCCGTATAAACATACACATCATGCATAACAACTACCTTTCTGTTTATAGCATAAATAACACACATCATATGCGACCTTCCGGTCTCACAGTCAAACCCTTACGGCTGAAGTATAGTGAGAAGACTCACCTCGCGGTAATGTAAGCTATCAACCCTCATGGTCCCGAAATACGCAATCATGGGACTTTCTGGACCTCTAAACATCCTATTACTGGGGTATAAACGTTTGGGTAACAACATTATAATCTATCTAATCACCAAATGGGTTTCATAAACCCTAGATTCGTGTACACATCAAACTAACAGAAATGGTCCGAGTATTACCTGAAAACGCACTCTCTGTGTCTCCAAACCTCAGGACTCGATCCTCCTTGATTTTCCTTTGGCCACAACTCTTCTTCTTCTTGCCTAACAACTTCCTCGAAGTTCCAATAGCTTTCCCTCCTAATCTAGACGTCCACAAACTATTAGGGTTCTTCTCAATCGGCTAAAAGACGAACAATGACGGCCTAAGAGGCGATATATACGATCCAAACCAAACGGCTAGGGTTTCTGCTGAACAGCATCGACTCGCCGAGTCCATATCTGGACTCGTCGAGTCCAGTCGCGAACCCGCGACCAAGCCTGTGGTCCTACTCGGCGAGTCAGGCACCAACTCGCCGAGTCCCTTCCTAAAATGCCCCAAAAATAGTTTTAAAGCAATACCTGAAATTCCGGGCTGTTACATGCTGAGCATAGGTTCTGTCTCAGACATATACATGAGAACATGAAGAAACAATAGAGAACTAAGGAATATAAAGATCACCTTTGGGATTGTGCCACAGCTACAACAGTGCCAGAGTTTAACCATTTCATGCACCAATTCATTTTATTTGACAAATCAGCATATGAATGGTTGAAGTCAATACCACCACAACATTGGGCAAAAAGCCATTTCACAGGTAAGCTATTATGACCCTTTTACCCTTTTACCATTTTACCATTCACATAACATTATAACACTTTTACCCTTTTACCATTTTACCCTTCACATAACATTATGACCATTTTACCCTTCACATAACATTATGACACTTTTACCCTTTTACCATTTTACCCTTCACATAACATTATGACACTTTTACCCTTTTACCATTTTACCCTTCACATAACATTATGACACTTTTACCCTTTTCTATACAGGGAGAGCAACCACAGACATGCTGTTAAACAACCTTTGTGAGGTGTTTAATGGAAAGCTAGTTGATGGGAGAGACAAACCAATTATTAGCTGTTTGGAGTTTATTAGGGAATATATGATGAAGAGGATATGCAATGTCCTCAGGGTGCAACAAAAGTGTTTAGGCCCACTCACCCCAACAGCAACAAAGATCATGGAGAAGAATGAAGCAGCTGCTACTCAGTACATTGCAGAATGGTGTGGTGATGAAAAATACCAAGTCAAAGGCCCATGGAATGATCAACATGTTGTTGATATGCATGAAAGGGTATGCAGCTGCAGGAAATGGGAATTAACAGGTATCCCTTGCAGACATGTGATTTATGTGTTGTATAACAAAGCAGATCATGGTGAGTGTGTACAAGAGCTCCATACTTATGTCCACAAGGTGCACTGGCTACAAACTTGGAAAACTGCATATGGGTACAAGGTGGAACCAATTAAAGGTCGGGCAATGTGGCCTAGAAGTGAGTGTCCAATGCAGATCACACCTCCCCCACACCGTAATCAACCTGGGAGACCCAAGAGGAAGAGAAGGCAATCCATGGAGGAGAAAAGTCAAAGCAAGAGTCAAAGTCAGAGTCAAAGGTCAGATGTTGGTCCCAGTGAGATTCATGGTCATGGTCCACATGGTGGTGGGAAACTAACAAGAAAGTTTGTTAGTGTGACTTGTAGTAAGTGTGGAAACAAAGGGCACAACTCCAGGACATGCAAAGGTCAGGGAGGGACTTGATGGTCTATGTTGGTTTTATCTTTTGGTTTGACTGTATTGAACAACTTTGGTTTGATTCCTAGATGCAGGATGTCGTTTGTTGCAATAACTTTGTTTTCAATTAACTTATGACATGTATTTTGAAGATGGTAATAGGTATTATGTCTTTAGTATGCTTTTGTGTTAAATACATATGGATGCATTATATGTTATCTTTAGAAGGTTATGTATGAACAATAGAACAAATCCATAATTGGTCAATAGATACCAAATTTTCATTAACCATTACTTTGCATTACAATGTTCCACATTAGCAAAAAAAAACTTAAACCAGACACATATACCCCTATCCTATTACAAAAGATAACCACAATCAACCTGTGGACTTACAACAAGAACACCAACACAACAACAAAAAAATCCAACTATAGACTAGGTAATACTTCAACATAGTTGCTTGTTCTTTGATCTTCTCCATTGCTTTTTCATGCTTGCTTGCTTGTTCTTTTGTTTCAACCATTGCTTTTCGTAGCTTATTGATTGTCCTAAGCAGCCCTGGTATTATAACTTTGGAACGAGCACACATGGGTTCATCATACCACCCAATAAACCCACATGATGAATTCTTGAAAAAAAGAAGAAAGAAACATTAGATCATCAGGGAGTAGTATTCAAAATAAAGTTTAACACACTTACCGGGTCAGGACATCCCCAAAATCGGCGCCCTGGGTTGTTATCTGTCCACGATGTCCGAACTATTGCCCACTTTCTGCAGACGCACATCACCATTGTCGATGGAGAAGATGAAATCACAGGGGGGTGATCGATGGAGAAGATGAAATCAGAGAGGGAGTGATAGTTAGGGCTTGTTGCTGGAGACGAGAATAGATACGTTGTAGTCTCTTTATGGACTAAATAATAATAAAATAATAAATGGGCTAGATGAATGGACTAAAATACCCTTAAGTGAGAGGGGCATGGGTAAATTAACGGGAGCTTGGTAACGGCTGTTAAGCCATTGGACTAAACTAGCAACAAATAGAAACTATTGGACCATCTTTGCAAGCCAAACCCATTTTGGACCAAACATGCTAGTTTGGACATACCACAGGGACCAAATTTGCAATTTTGTCTTAATAATATACTTATTAAGTTCACCAATCAACAACAACCTTGATTACCCATTCCCGTTGTCCTCACTTTACGTCCCTAAGCACCTATCAAAAGGGACCTAGCCTAAAGAATATCATCGGGATGGACAATACTGCTAAGGTTTTTCCTCAGTCATACATGTCCTAAAGGAAACCATGAGGGGGATGGAGTACACCAATGAACATTTAGTTCATCAACACCTATAAGTTGTGAACCTGCTAGTGTTCCACTGGACTGTCTAGAAGGGTTTGTGGTCGTCATCTATACTCCGCTAGATGACTACAACAACAAGAACAACAATATCGAGGCCACTCACTATTTTAACACACGTCAACTATTTCATCTACCCATGTTCTACCCAACATATTTTGTAGATAAAAATCATATACAGTTTAAAACTTGTATAAAACATCAATTCAACAATTGTCTCAAATAAACAATCAATATATATACACATAACACGTATTTATATAAAATACTTCATATCTATGTGTAAAATGAAAGTGACTATACACCCACATGATTTGATGATAATCGGGCAGCAATTTGTTGCTTTAAACGATCGTTTCTAATAAAATCGGGGGTTTTATTGAGAAACTGGGCTTTGCGAAGGTTGGGATTTGAAACCAAAAAGACAAATTTTCCAAGCTTCTCGGGCACTTCATGGAGTATTCCGGGGCTTATAATCGTTACCGGGGCTTTGGGGGATGTTAAGATGAAAGAAATATGGGTTTAAGGGATAAAATGACAAGATTCCAAAATATACCCGGGAGGTCTCGCACCTCTCTATTTATAAGGAGGAGCTTCTGATCGGACAACTGAGAAGCCTCCGGGAGGGCTCGCACATGGGTTGCGCATGCGTAGTGGCTGCTACCGGTCTGTGATTGGACCGAAGTCTAGGTCTAAAGTAGGGGGTGTCCGTGGCAGCTTGCGAGGGCTTCAGACATGTGCTAAGAGGTTACGTGGCGCACCGCTATTGGACCACTTTGGATATGGTCAGGAGCTCGGATGACTCAATAGCTCGGACACGTGGCTCGCACACATTTTGGGCAAGGGTAACGTGGCCGAAGCCACCTATGCGAATTTTCTCGGTTTTTGTGCAAAAATTTCTAAAATCCATAACTTTCGCATACGAGCTCCGTTTTTGACGTTCTTTATATGTACGCGTAGGTACATTTATGCCCTACAACTTTCGTTTAAACTTTGTAGGCTAATTTTGAATTTAATTTTTATATTATTATTTTTAACAGACCGGGACTGGAAATCCGTTAAAAATTCATAACTTCTTCATCTGACGTCCGTTTTCGTCAGACATTTTATCGTTGTGGTACTAATGATGAGACCTTCAATTCTCGTTTAGGTTGTGTCGGCTAAAAATCACTCGATCTAAAATTCGAGTTTTTAGTTGTCTACTGCTAAGCCGAAACTTCGAAAAATCATAACTTCCTCATATGAAGTCAAATTTGGGCGTTCTTTTTATCAAACTTCTCGGTTTAATGAATACTACGACTTTCGTTTAGATCACTAAGGCAAAAAATTAGTTTATCAAAAACTCACTTTTTACGACATTCAGGGTCGTGCCGGTTTTGTCGCGAAACTTCGACATATCATAACTTATTCGTTATAACTCAGATTTTGGTATTCTTTATATCCCCAAAATCCTTGTTACGACCACTACAACTTTATGTAAAGAGATCGACTTTATCAAACACTTTAATTTTGATGCTTATTTTTATTCTTAATTAATTAAACCCTAATAATTAATCATAAAACACATAATTCACATAATATTCACATAATTCCTTTTCATTTCTTCAAAATGAGTTACAACGGTTAACCTAAACCATCACCTCAATATAAATGCCTAGGCTAGAAACACGAGTGTTACAACAATCGTAGCCTTTAGTTATAACTAAAGTCTCTGGGAGGGAGAGCCAGGATTTGGGTATAGATATATATGGGGATGACACCCCACACCTGAGATGTTTGCTACAATTAGGCTAAAGCAGTCTAGGGTGACAAACACCTTATTCTATTTTCCGCCAGTGTTCAACAATGCCAAGACAGGAAAAATTGTCATTATCTAGTATGGTTATAACAACTCACTTAGAGGAATTAACGTTATAAAGTTATGGGAGACCATTCTCTTTTCCAAATGGATTACTTGGGAACATGCTTGCGCCGGTACTCAACCTCGAGGTTTGGTATACTAGCATTCTCTTTTACAGACAACATAGGGTTGTCTGTAAAATAACTTGTATTCTCAGGAAACCTTTGAAGCATGTGTGATGATGATGATTTTATGTTTCAGTTATACTCTATGTGATGATACTACAAGGATGAAGTCAGACACAAACATATGGAACTGTTTTCAGAAAATATAGGATTTTCTGGTGATTGCAAAATTATACAAAACCATTTTCTCAAACATGTTTATGAACTCACCAACATTCTTATGTTGACCTTTTTAAAATAACTTGTATTCTCAGGAAACTGTTGAAGCAGGTTAAGCGGAAAAAACTAATGGATATTTTGTTTCATCATACTTTAACTATTTTGGCATGTAATATTCAAACACAATACTCGATATGAACAATGTATGTTGTTATATTGCATGTGTGATGATGATGATGTTATGTTTCAATCATATATTATGTGATGATACTACAAGGATGAAGTCAGGCACAAGCCCTGGACGTTTCTGCCATCTGGTTCGCGGGTGTGACAATTTTAGGATTTTTGTCCCTAAAGTTGGAGACTTTATGAGATATTGAGCTCCAGAGACTTTGATCAACCACTTTGAGTGTATTTAGTGGTTTAATGTCATAAAAATCCGATCTTGGACATTGGAATCAAGCCATGCATGAGTTATGAGCTTTTTGAGATAAGAGAGTGAGTGTTTTGTATGTTTGTGACCATATTAGCCATGCAAAGGCTTAAAGTCACAGACTTTATAGAGTTAGAGCAATTAGGGAATCCAAATTTGTGATTTGAGCCAAGGCCTTAACTCATTAATACCAAATGAGTGAGAAGCGTGAAATTGTGATTTGAGCATTCTAACACTCCTATGGTGTACATGCAACCCTATAAACCTTGGATCTATGTTTTGTCTTTTATACATGCAAATATTCAATATTCCAAGGTTTCATCCTAACTAGCATAATAAGAAGTATATACAATACAAGATTCTAGTAGAATGACATACCTTTTGATGAAGCATGAAGTCTTGAATCTTTAAGAGCTTAGTGTCTTTTTGATCTCTAAATTAATTCTAAATTAATTCTTGATCAATACTAATTAAATAGTATGATTTCATATTAATATATTAGAACTTATAATATATTAATATAAATTGTAAGTATCCTTTTTCTCATTTAGTCTATCCAATTGTTCTGATGGCATGCAATCCAAATGGACCATGCCAAATGGGGTCAAGTACATACCAATTATAGTTATGGACTTAGACACTAATCCAACAGTCTGCCACTTGGATAAGTCTAAACTATTATTGCGTATAACTCCAAAACTCGACTAGCAATCGTAGCTCTTAAAGTCGTTGCCGAAATCTGACCTATTCAAATGACTTATCCATTATATAAGAGATCATATATTCCTCCATACTAGATATCATATGGTCTGAGATATGGATTATAATCATTCTCTCTGTCCATTTGTTGTTTCCCGATTTCCGGTTTATGACGACTAACTAATTGAACAAATCAAATTAGTCTAGGCTTGGACAAGCACTTAGGGGTGTCATCACTAAATCATCGAGGGCCCCACAGATATCGATATTATCCCTTCAAGGGTAAAAGGAATGGATAAACTTTGACTCAGATGCTTGTTCTACTACTTGTTGAATCATACAT